GAGAGAGAGAGAGAGAGAGAGAGAGAGAGAGAGAGAGAGAGAGAGAGAGAGAGAAGTTCGTATCTCGGAAATTTATTTGCTGAAATAAATATTATGGATATGTATGTTATAATAATTGGCATGGGTGTGGTGAGATTGTGCGCTCGTGTGCGCGCGTGCGTGCGTGCGTTTTAATAGTATTTTTAGCATATATTAGGCGTGCTATTAGCAAGACCATCTGACGCTGTGTTTTAAATATAAGACCTTTTCTGGCGTGGCATTGTTTTTTTATATACAACTTACACACACACACACACACATACGCACGCACGCACGCACACACCGACACATAGGCGCACGCGTACACACACCTACACGCATACACACTCCCACACGCATGCAAGTACACGCGCACACGCGCACATATACACTTCACACACCCAATATGACGCACAAGAATATATATACATGCATGCACGCGCACACATACACATGTATGTAACTATGTTTCAATATAAAGATGAGCGACATATATAGAGCGGGAAGGAAAGAGCTAAAAAAGAGGGAAACTGGGAGATTAGAAGGAACTCCTCCCCCCATACAACAACAACAGCAGCAGCAGTGCGAAGAAGAAACAACAACAAAAAACGACAAGAAAAAAACAAAACGTAGTTTTAACGGTTTATTGAACTCTCGTTGACGTAGCCAACAAACGCGCGCGCGTGCGAGACACGCTGACGCCACCCCGCCGAGAGGACGCCACCAGCCGCGCAGCGACTACGGCGGCGCGCCCTGGCGAGCAGCCACGCGGCATTTCGCCTCACCCTCGTCGTCGGTTAGCCGTGACCTTTAACCCTCAACCGATCGACTGGCGGGTCGTTTACCTATTATTCGAGTACGATATTAAAAATTCCCTAATCGGCGCGCGCGTGCCGCCCCGCCCGCACTGTCACGCCGCGTGACCCCACCGCTGGGTCAAGGTCGCTCCGGGGCCAGGTTCACAGCCTCTCGCTGGATGCACTAGCTTGTTAGCACTAACGAGCTCTCATCTGTGCGGCAGAGTGGGATGCGTTAGTGACGGGAGAGAGAGAGAGAGAGAGAGAAGGGTCTCATCTCCCCCCCCCCGCCCTTATCCCCCCGTCACGCGACGCGGCATCGTTCTCTCCTAACGAGCGGCTCCGATTAATTACGTAATCGACTAATTAGTTAATTAATTAGTGAGCGGTAAGTCGTCTTCGCCACCTCTCCATTTAGTATCACAGCACCGACCGTGTTGTGCGGTGGCGCCGCCTAGCGGCGGCCCCCGCTTCGTACCTCTGTCCGCTCGAGATATGTCTAACGTGAGGGACAAGCGAACGTTCGCTCGCATACCGCGTATTCTAATTCGTGAGGGGGCACCACCTATGGGGAACTGACATCTGCGCGGTTGCCGGGGCGCGCCTCGCCGCCAGGGGGCGTGGAGGTGCAGGGTTTCCGCGGCGATGCAGTAATATTTGGCCCCCTGTCCCCTCATGGTCCCATCTCTACTACACGAGTGGCAAGAACACTAATGCAATGACAGAAGCACAGGTTGGCGCGTACTCACAAAGCACTTATATAAATGAAAAGAATCTCTTAGATTATCTGCACCCTCCTCCTCCGTCTCCGCCTCCTCTCTCTCTCTCTCTCTCTCTCTCTCTCTCTCTCTCTCTCTCTCACTCTCTCTCTCTCGCTCTATCGCTCTATCTCTCTCTCTCTCTCCCTCTCTCTTCCTTTCTTATGCAGGCACACACGCACACACACATACAAACTCACACATACACACGCACACACATACGTTGTTATGCATACCTCGCACAACTCGCGCACTCACACACACATACAAACT